ACATCCCGGAGTAGATTGGCTTCACGCCGCTTAAGGATCATTGGCTAGCCAATGAGAGTAAGCCAACAATATCGTTTTACCTTGGAGTAGTTTAATGAGAATGACGTATCTTAATGCCCCACAGTGAGCGCACTACTTGAGCAGCCTCAAGATGGGTTTTCGCTCATCGGATAGTTGCTCGAATTCAGGAACATTCAGTTAGGGCATTCTCTCATGAACCATTTATTTCACCCCATAGTTTGCCTGTATACACTGTCTTCCGGGGTTCTCCATACTATTTTGGCTTGATGCCTTTGTTTTCTGATTTTGGGAAGTGTCTGGACGTGTACTCGAGTAGCTGTATCGGTTATCCGCACTGTCCTCGGAAAGCACAACAGGAGAGGTCATCCCAACAAACTGGCCTGAGTCCATCACAGTCGCATTCAGCAATAAGGTCGGTCGCCTCTAAGTTGCTAAACATAGGCATATCAGCTTGTGGTAACAAAGCTGCTCGTTTCAATTTTCCTCCGTTGCATCAATGCGGAACGGGAATTCAAGATAAGGAAAGGGTAGGCAGGTTTCCGCCCAGAATGGGGCTATACAGATGATATCTTCACTGCGACAGGTGTGAGAGCAGCGTCATGCTTAAGAGTGCGCTCGATTCAGTCGATCGCTCCATCCTCTTCGATATATGAACAATTTTTGCATCCTTTACTCTAAAATCAGAGGCTGTGTTAGAGTCTACGGTAACTTGTCAGATGTCTTTCCGACAAAAAGTGGCGTTCATCAGAGTTCAGTTTCTCCATTTTCTTTTAACTTGTCGCGGATTCCATCATACACTCAACACTTTCCCTCCACTCAGTTTTCTTTTACCCTTGGTGACGACTCACTTTTTGTCCGACTCAGTGCCAAATTTTTTTCTGTTTTCCACTCTACTGTTACTCTTTACTGATAAGCCATAACAGCTAGATACTTGGTATTTTTGAGTTGGAATCGTTTTTGCAAAGCGTTGGTTAACTAACTCCGTTCCACTCAGTGAACAGTGAAACAGACTTTAAAATTTATCGGTATGTATCTCTCGATAAATTGAGATGCTGCCCTCTTGAAGAGGTTTGATCACTGTGCACATGATTCAAAATGATTCAAATGGTTCAAAATAACCAGGTCAGGTGATCCGGAAAGCCAAACTCGGGACTGCGCATCAACCGCAGCTGAAAAGTGCAAATAACAGCAGATAATTCCTAGTTTTCTACGATCTACCGTTGAGGTGCACCGATGCCAATCGTTAACTTCGTTTTTTTTCCGGTACAGTCATAAACGGCTGACAAAAATCGGATCTTCGTGTTTCCACTTAAACTGGCAAAAACAATAAACTAAAATTTTTGACAACAGTCGATTAATTAGTTAAAAGAATGTTGAAAAAGTATAGGGATGATGTGTGCCAAGACCGATTACGGTTGAATAAATTACACAAACATTAGCAAGAAGATTACTAGTGACTGTATATGGGCAGTGATTTAATTAAATATCTAGTCTTCGCAGCCTAATGCACAACACAGTGCAGGTGCATTTGTCAAAGTTTACTGGTGTTTTTGTTCGGAGGATGTAAATTTGGAAAACACCACGCTAATATGGGTAGCTTGGCGATCTGGATAGAGCTGAATGCGTTTACAAATTGCACAGAATGGAGATCCGAGCTAAAGTGGAGATGGAGAACCACAGATTGGCGTGAGCTAAGTGAAATAGAGAGAAGAAAGACAATTTAACAACACTGTGGGAAGAATTGTAGAACGAGGCTACAAGACTTAAGCGCCGATACCGATTGCTGGCTTATTCTGCTTTAGGCGCTTAGTCAAGACGGCACAGGAAAAGGAAATAAACCGCTCAGCACCGTTATTTCATGCACCGGGCTCCGATGACTCGGCCACGTGTTACGCATGCTAGCCCACCGACTCCCGCGACTTACGTTGTTTGCGCGCCGGGTGTGTGGATGGAAAAAGTGGGGTGGCCAAGCGATGACTTAGTCGAGATGAATGAAGGCCCTCACTTCTGAGCTGGCCTCGGTTGGAGCGTCTCGGCTCCCTGGTTGGGGTCCGAAGGACGATGAACACGTTAGGCTAGATAAACTTGCTGATATGGCTAGGAGCCGACCTCAGTGGCGTTCGTGCTGTGAGTTTCTTTGTCCCACCCCATCCCTTTTAGCCTCCCCCTCCAACCACGATCTCATTATTTAGCCTTATATAATTTTGCATAGGATATTTTTTGCTGCATAATAGCCGGCAGATAGCTTACCGGAACGATGCCCATCCGTTACTGATAGCTCAGCCGGCTTGCACCGGTTGCATTTTTTCTCCATTTTTCTTCTAGATATTGCATCACGGTTGCTGAGGTGTTTCCCACCTCTAACTAACGTGTATAGCGATGATGATGATGTTAGTAATGGTGCTTAGACAAGAAGCTGAATGACTATTTTGCAGTCATCTCTTTACCAGACTAAGCAACATCGTCTATGCGGTTCTAATTACCTGGTTCTCTGAGCCTCGTAAGCAATTTCGAGGTCCAATAGCTTATTGATCCTGGTTTGCTTTGATTGCCAGGCTTCGACGAACTCACGTATTTGCCGGCTTTTTGCTCCAATGAGGATTTTGGCTTTCTGCAAGTCGAATTGCTCGTTTTCGATATCCATATGCACAGACATCAGAGTTCTGATCATGACGACAGATGCCAAAGCTGTGTTCACACAGCATTTGTCATAGTTCCAGCAGCAACTCATCTATTTCCTTGTTGATTGTATCTTTCCTCTTAAAGAGTTTATTTCGAATATCTTCTATTGTTTGGCGAACAAACTTGACTCTAAAAGGCAACAAAAGTCTTGTTTGTGTTTCTGAGAATTCGTTGATATCTTTTCAACCGTTGCATTTATTGAGGGGTGTTGTGGTGGCACACTGAGACTGGTGTTGCATTCTTGATGCTTCTTCACCGCAGTTGGGCTAAACCAACTTACACTTAAACTAGGTCTTACCAAGCTGAATAAATTTCATTCCTCTTTATTGGGTTCGTTCTGCCTACCTGAATAATCTTCTATTAACTGGCCACGTTGCTTACACTAATTGCGCTTATCTTCGGTAACTTTGTTGCTTTTGTAGCATTTTTAACTAACTTGTGGACATTTTTCTTTATCGCGGATTCGTTGCTAACCAACATACTTCATATGGTAATTTAGGGAAGAGTTATGCCACCGTATCTGTATGCATTATTCGATTTATTTTATTTCATCTTCTCGTTTAAAGTGCTTGGCTGTTGCTTGGTATCCCCGGTGTGGCTGCGCATGATGTGCATGTTGACAAGCTGCCTATCTGTCTATTACCCACTACCTCGTTCATACTGGCTCCAGGAGACAGTTGGTCGTTGCTGGAGGGGACGGGGTGCACGGTCCTTGTAGCCGTGCTAGGCTCTAAGAGCGGTTCCATGCACTCAGTGTGGAGCGGACTACGGTCCAGCCACCGCCTTGTGTTCACTTGATTCCCCAAATACAGTGTGCTTGTGTTTTCCTGTGAAGGAGTGTGGGCCGGCTCCGTTGATGAAACGTGCTCCCATCCACATGCCTCCCGGTCTTATTCCTTCGGGTTTACACTGGATATGGGGTGTGTGGTTGGAGCTGTGGGTGGTGCGGCGCAAGCCATCTATGGTCCATTTGTAGGCGCAGGCGTCCTGTGGCTGGCCACAGTGACAGGCAAATCCGAAACCGGATGCCGCCAACCATGTGGTGCCACGCAGCGCAGAACAAAGCCTTTAGGGTACGAGCTCCATCTGCACAGGTTGATGAGTTGGCTTTCCTCCACCGCTGTATGTATGCTCATTGGCTCATGTGTTCGTTCTTGTTTGGAATAGTTCTCACTCAGCTGTATAATTGTTGTCGTTGTTAGGGATCTGATCCGCATGCGTTGATTTTTGATGTACCGTCCTTCCTAGTCATCCGGCATCTGTCCTTTGTATGAGAACGTCTAAAAATGGTAATTGTCTGTTGTTCTTTTACTCTCTGATGTATTGGATGCTATCACATACATTGATGATTAGTTTGCATGTCTCCACTAACTTTAGACGCTTGAAGCTGACGATGGTGTCGTCTACGTAGCATATGAAAAACTTTGGTTTTGAGACTGGTTAAGTCTGGGGTCCGTTCCACCGCCTGCATCACCGTCACAGCTACTAATCCAGAGGTCTGCAATTCCACCGATGTGCCTATTATCTGTTTGTATACTTGGCCTTTGCAAGTGAAGTGTGTTGCTTGACAGAATTCTAGAAACTACATTATCTGTCTAGCGTCGAGTTTCTTGCTTGTATCGGTCGATGTATGTTCATCCAGTAGGGCGATCATCGTTTGTACTGTTAAATTGATCTCGATTGGTGTGAATGACGCTGTTACCTCAAACGGGGTGACCATTGTTTCGGTTATTTGCAAGCGATTCTACCGAGTTGACCGAGTGTTCTGAATCAATACTTCGATGCTTCATCTGTCTCCGGAGCTATTTTGCAATCGTGTGCTTTTGTGCTCCAGATAACAACGCAATGGAGCTGTGAGGTACTTCGTTTTTGTGTACATTAACTAGTTCGAAGAACCGCGGTAGTATCGAATCTTGTGATTTTCTCACTTTGTGTTCCAATTGGTTTCAGTCTTTGCAGAACACGCTTGATGTTTTCTCCCAATAGTCTTGCGGAATCTTCGTTTATCAGCTGGTATTTGTCAATATCACTGAGTGCGTGTTGTGCTTTCGTGATGCAATCAGTTTTGTCTATTAGAACGGTAAGCTATCTTTTATCGGCTTGCATATCACTATACCGGTATGTACGAAAGCAATAAGATGGAGACAGAAATAAAGACTAGGTGCTTCGGGTGGGAAATATGCGAGAGCATTGGTCTTGAGGCTTCGCTGTCACGTCCAGACTAACTCTGCTTCCACCGAGTTCATTTTGTAGGGAAACGGAGTATTCACTTTGTTGTCATTGCTCGTTCTTTTCAGCCACCTCGTGAATATCCCAGTGACACTTCACCTAAGTCCGGTGATCGAATTTTGCGCGTGGTTGATGCGCAATTTGTTCGTGCCCATCGAGAATCGTGGATGTGGGCGGAAATTCGCTGTCAGGAATCATCACAAAAGCTCGTGTTCGACTTCTCACATGAATCAGAAATGCGACTGGTCGATCAGAAGAATCTAGCTCTCCAAATGGTATACTCACTGAACGCAGTCCGATGCATGAAACCCCATCCCTTTCATATGGTGTGTTGTGGACTGCTCCCGGGGACCAATCAGTTTTCCTTTCTGGAAAAGCAATTCTCTGTCGGTTTTCCGGTACGTTATCCTACTCACGGACAGCCTAGTCGTCAACATGTCCATTTGTATGCTGATCTCTCACATTGACTGTTTCTCTTCCACTATTTGTAGCAAGGTATTTTCTCTTGCAATGGTTTTTCGATGCCTTTTTGTTCGTTAAGTTACTCTTGTTTAACTCCATGGTTTAAAGGGAATTGTTTGGCTTTTGTGTGTTGCATTGTTCTCGGAGATATCAGGCTACTCTTTTGGACCTCTATTTTTAGATGAAATTGCATGATTGTGTATGGTCAGTTGCGGCATCTCACCCGCCTCCTGAGCTTTGATTTTCATATAATTCTGTTACTCTTTCAGTGCCTATTATTGCGCTGTGATTGGCATCTACTCAGCGGTACTTTCGCATTATTCCGATCTTTTGGCTTTAACATAACAGGAAGGAACAACCTTTCAACAGGATAGTCTGCATTCAGATATTTCGGGTATTCTCATCAGCTGTTAGGAGACAATTCGTGGGAAATCAACAATCAGTTAACAACAGCAGTACCTCAGCCAATTGAACTGATGCTTCGCTGTCATACAACCATGATGACTTATGAAATGAGGAATAATAAGAGGGAGAAAGAGAGAAGGGAGACTTACTGGAAAACCTTAATGTCCTAACCAAACATTCTGCGTCATGGCGCCTACACCTTGTGTAGACAACATACCGTCACAAACATCTGGTTATCGTGCAATAATTAGGCGGCATCGGCGAGACAGCTTCCTTGCGGCTTTCACTGCCACGCGTCATAATCAGCCATTACTCCGCAAATAACTCAGCAGCAAACACACATTAAAATGTCAGCTCGATTAGGAGACGGCAGCAGACGCGCCACTGGTGTCGGTTGCGAGCCATATCCTGTAAAGTCTCGAGCCAAGCACATGGCGAGTCAGGTGGACTCCAGCCCGGAAGACGAGACGGACCAACGGCACCCAGTTTGGTCGTCAGTAACTTCATTTTCCGCTGCCAAGTCAACTTCTTTCCACCTTGAGTCTTTCGCCACCCTACACCTGGCAGACGAAACAAGGCCCTCCTAGGTAGGCGGTGACCAGGCCTACGTAGCACGTGCCCGAGCCAACGCAACTTATTCAGTGCTATCTGTTCTAAGGAGCTAGCATGATTATCACTGCCTATTACCCCCCTACGCACATCTTTGTTGTGCACATGCTGGTGCCATCCGATACTAGCAATGCTTCGCATACAACGATGATCAAAGACTTGAAGGCGCCTCAGATCTTCAGACCGAAGAGGCCAAATCTCACTACCATATAGCAGAACGGTCCTCACTGTGGCCTTATATACACGCCTTTCAGACGAAGGGAAACTCCCTTCTGTCGCCAACAATGCGGCAGGTTCAAGAAGGCAGCTCTGGCGTTTTCATTGCGTGAGCCGACGTCAGTTTTTATGCACCCATCGTTGCTGATGCAGCTGCTACGATAAGGGAGTTAATCAACCACCTCGATTTCCTTATTAGCATGCTTCAAGGGGTCATAAAGTGGCTGGTGGTCCTGCAGCAACACTTTGCACTTTGAAGGTGCGAAGTGCGTACCGGATGATGGGACCACTCTAGACAGGCTATTCAGGGTTGATTATGCCGCCGCAACATTGTCGAAAAGCAAGGTGATATCGTCCGCATAGTCAAGATCAACTAATCTTTCACCAGGCAGCACTTCAACGCTTCCATCGTGAGCTTCCGCAAGGGAACACTCTATGGTAGAATCCGTGACGAAATTGAACGAAAATGGGGAAATCGGACAACCCTGACGAACGCTACTTGTGGTCGGAAAGTTATCCGATAGGTCACCGTAGACCTAGATGCGGCCTGTATTGTTGGTGTATAGAGCACGTAGAATGTTTAAATATTTCATGAGAATACCTTTCCGCGCAAGTATTTCGAACAGAATCGATCGATCGACGGAATCGAACGCACTCTTGAAATCGGGGAAAACAGCTGTTGTTGGTCTGCGGTATGCGTGGCGTTGCTCTAGCACCTGCCGCAAAGTGAATATATGGTCTATACAGCCACTCCCTTGGCGGAAACCGGCCTGCTCTTTCCTAATTCGCGATTCCCGTTCCACAATGAGGCGACAAACGAGAACCGAGACCAGTAATTTTTTCACAACTATTGTTAGACTAATACCTCTGTGGTTATGGCAGTCTGTGCGGCTTCCGTTTTTGTATATTCCCAATATAAACGATTCGTTCCAATCAGCCGGGATACACTCTTCCTTCCAGATACGTTCGAATCGGGAGGTCAGTGCTTTGCAGAGGACTTCACCTCCATGCTTAAATAGTGCAGGTGGGAGGGAATCCGGGCCAGCAGCATGAAAAGGATGGAGGGCTTGGATCGCGTTTCGAACTTCAGCCTCCGATGGAGGCTCTAAACTAACCTTCCATGGCTCGTCCTGCATCACCTGATAGGAGGTGGTCCGGGAGCAGGGGGCCAGCTGAACTGCTCTTGAAATTGTTCCGTCTAATGAGCCCTACGGCGCTCCTTATTGTGTATCCTTGCACCCGCGCTGTGTCCAGTTCTCCCACTGTTACCTGGTTTTTGGGAGCATTCGTGCGGATTAGCTGGAAGGGCTTGCGGTAATTGCCTGCGTCCTCCATTTCTTGAGCCCTACTGGTCCATCAGACTTCCTTGTCAGCACGTAAGCTCCGCTCTAGTTCGCTTCTAATTGCCGGTCTGGTCACATTGTGCTCAGAGCGAGCCGGTAGGTATCTTCTAAATTCCAACAGGTTCACCGACCTTTCGGATATCCAGTGACTGGTGCGGTGACGATTGACAGTGCCACAAGCAAATACACCTGCGTCGTGCATGGCGACCGAGATCCTATTCCACTGAAGCTCAGTGTCATTAGAACAAGAGAGTTCGGTATGCAATGCGTCTTGATAGACTTGTCTGACTGAGGGCTGAGACAATTTCTCGGTTGCCAATCGGAGGAGACACTTGTTGCTCCCACCCCCCGGTCTAGTTCGTGAAGAATCGACGGCGTACTCAGGCATGATCGACGCAGGTAATGCAGTACGAGCGGCAATCCAGGATGGAACCAGGCCGCCTGTAACTTATGGCTATGTGGTCAATTTGAGTCCATCGCTGGCCAGCTACAGCCACTTTGTCTAAAAGCAGTGCTACTAAGAAGCAACTGGTTCTACGCACACAATTGCGACAGGCGCTAACCGTTATCAGTCCGTTCGGAGATAAGCCCATAATTACCACCCAGCTGAGCTTCTGAAGAGCTCAGACGCCTTACTTGTGCGTCCATATCTCCTGCAAGTACTATAGTATCTGAACTAGTGGCACTGTGTAGTAGCGCGTTCAGTTCGTGTTAGAATGTGTCCTTGATAGCATTTGAACTACAGTCGGTGGGAGCATAATCTGAAAACACTTCGTGAATCAACCTTACCTGCTATCGTCAAACGGGCTGCACATAAACGGCTGTTCATCGGAATCCAATCAACCAACGATGGTTCAGCCTTGGAGCTGAGAATGATACCTACACCAGCTTGACCCATGAGTGCTGCATCGGCGTCTCCGGATACGTGCAACCAATAACGAGAGGATAAGCCAGGTGCAGTTCGTTTAACAACCCCATCCTAGTTTCGGACACACAACACACATCAATACCCTGTGTGTCCAAGGTGCGTGCGAGTGCAGCCTGTTGACCTATTTGTCTTAGAGTGCGAACGTTGAACGTCGCCATGGAAACGGGATAGCGTGGTTCCTTATAAGGAATTGTTGCCGATAGGTGTGGTGGGATGGTGGCTGCACGTGGTTCTACTCCAGTGGCACTTCGACTGCTGTCAATAAGGCTGGGAATTATAGAAGGAAGGTTGGTTGTGTGGGTAGGGATGGGAGTAAGAGAAGAAGGTGGAAAAGAAAGAAGGGAGGCGCCAGTAGTAGCATGTTTTCGCTTATCCGCCCTGCCATATGCGGTAGATAAGGCGACCCTTGGTAATATGCGCGACGGCCGATGCAGGATGAAGTTTATGTTTGAAGAAAAAGTCGTGGTTTTGTTCTTAATTCAACCTTCAAGATCATTCAATTCAAATTTTAAACGATAAAATATATTACCATGACAAGGTGAGACTGTTCATAAGTCAGGTTGTTTGCTTAAATCAAGTTTCTGCTGACGATTTACTAAAGCTTTAGCAAACGGAAGCATTAGAGGATTGCTGTCGGTTAATTTTCCTGAACGATTCGCATGGATTTTGACATGCGCAGCAGTCTAGGATATGCACATTGGAACTTGCCGGCAGCTTTGGACCGTTCGCGACCATATTACGTGGAATATGCTGTGAACTCCTGCTTGACCATCTTCTCTCAGTTCTGCGCATGTACTTGCTGCCACAATTACAATGAACGAGTTAAACACGTGACTCGGTAACTAGAGGGTTTGGCTTGTTCGGATTAGATTTACTTAGCAGCTTTCTTACTCGTTGCAATAGCGCAAGCTCGGCCGCATAATAACACTTTTTATCAGCTAGCGGAGAAAGTGCCGGGATCTTATATCATTTTGGTCCCTTTAAACAATAGTGTAATAAACACTTTTTTCCTGGGGATATCAATCAGTCTTTTTCCTTTGCTTTCTGTGTTTGCGTATCATACTACAAATCTCTTAGGGTCTCCGTTTTTATGTAATGTTGAGAATGCGTGTTCCAGATCACTGCGGATTGTATCTTTAGCTCTCTCAAAGCCGGTGCGAACCAATGCTCGTTTATAGTTTGTAGGACAAAAACTGTTAAAGTTTAGGTACTGTCCTGTCCAAGTGGGCTTGCTATATGGGATCGAGTGAGCGTACCGCCTGGATTCCTCTCTAGCTTTACCTTTAATCATAAAGTGAGGCTTATTATTTTTACTTGACACGTTTCACACTTGGCTTTACGAGCAACATTTGTGCCAACACAATCGATGTGGCTTGCAGAGAAAATCGTAGCTCGGCGCCAACTCTATCCTCTGACCGTCTATAACATGTGACAT